CATTAAATAAGATGGATACAACAGCAGTACAAAATCTGATGGAAGTTTTGAAACGTAAAGCCCGACAGTTCACATTTGTAAAATCGTAAGCATAATCAAATAATTTTCCTGTATTTTGCAGTCATTGAATTTAAAAAATAAATAAAGTTTGATCATTTATACAATAACATAATCAGTGTGTACTTTATCATGTTTGACCAATTTTTAGCCGTTCCACCCTTTAATGCTGGTGATTCAAGAAGACGACATTCTAAACACTTCAGTCTCCGCTCCGCCATGGGCCTGCTTGAGATACTTGACGTTGTCAAACTTCCACAAAAGTCTGGTTTCGAATCTTAAGGTTTTGGTCCTGGTCATGGTTGCTCGATGAATTCCTTGAGCTCGTTTGTCATCCGCTGATGCTTTAGCATGTGTCACCGAAACACCAACACTTTCCATAGAGAAAAAACGCTTCACAAGCTCATGCAATTCGTCGTCACGTGATTTGGTGAATTCCCAATATCATTCCCCGAGCGACTATACATTACCCAGTCCCGCCTAGTTTTGGCGACAACTGGCTCGTATTCGCGACCTTCCCGCAACTTCAGCGTGGTATTCAAAATTGTGTTGCCCAAACCAATCAGGATTCCTGGAACGGCATAGTTGTAGCTTTGTACCGGAAGAACCCTCATGTACGGATATTTGCCCCTCAGCTCTTCGAAGTGCAAGGACTGTCGTGGTAGTTCTAGTCCATCGACGGTTTGAACTCTGCGGAGGGTGAACTGGCTTGTCCGTCTTCGATCCCGAAACGTTCAGTTGAATTTGCTGGGATTCTTCTTCCACACGCTTGACCCCATTGGTCCACTGCATGTAGAGCGGAGAAGTTGGCCCTTAGACCCAACTGTTCTGCCAAAGATCGTTCCATCAAAATGGAATCAGAACCGCCATCCAAGAAAGCGAAGGTTCGAACAGATCGATCATTGGCGTGAAGGACTACCGGGATGATACGAAATAGAACTTGGTGCTGTTGTTGATGAACGGAAATTACGCCAGAAACCGGAGCTGAACCCTCTGCTTTGGGTTCTCGTGGTTGATAACCATTGACCCCGCAGTTTGATGCTTTGCACGGCCATTTAGCATGCAGATATAAGCAGCGTCGACCGAAACTGACTTCTTGGGTTACCTTCCATTTGTCTTAGAACGTCTTCGAATTGAAACTACAGCAATCTTTTGGGTCGTGCCCAGTTAAATATTACAAACCACACAAGGACGCTCGCTCCCCGTCTGGTTTCCTGTTGGTTGCCTTGTCGTTCCGGATGTTTACCGTGTGTATCTCGACTTTCCCTTTCGACTTTTCAGATTTGGCGGTTACTGGTGTGACACTACTAGCTGCCGTTACGATCACGTTCTTGTCCGACGGAACGTGGCAGGCGAATACAAATCTGATTCCGTTTGCAGTCAGCTTCCAGCTGGTTTCGGATTACGGAACAACAGTCGGTAGCAGTACGATGTTTCCTCGTTAAAGTGCGTATAATTATTTCTTTCATTTTTTTTTTAATTTCTGTTGCAAATATTTTTCAATTCTGTTGAATTCTCCACAAAGCTTCCATACACTATCCTCAGATGATGCGAGTTTTAACTTCCTTGGATTTCAACTCAAAACTAAACTGCTAAACAACCTTCTCCCTCCTCGCTGTCGAACCTTTTAAATTCTCTTTAATATTCCTTTGGAATCGAATCAACTTCAGATACAGATGCCTTTCGAATTATTATAACAATCCTTTTGAAATAAATGTCAGAATTCCAAAGAAGTACTTGTCAGCATTGCTCAAAATTTGTTAGGAGTTGTGAAGCTTTGGATATTTTTGGAATGATTCTATGAATTATCTTTGAGTCCTGGAAATTCTCCTGGACATTTCCTCACAATCCCCTTAGAATTCTTTTCAGAATTGCCATGTAAGTCTTCTTATAACTACTTTTAAAATGACAAAGTATTTTCCTGAAGCTTTCATCACAAAGCCTTTCAATTTCGTTTCAAAATTGCTTTTTAGTATCCTCGAAATTCCTTAACAATAGTTTCCAGAATTCGCTAGGAGGTCTCTTCGGAATAACCTTTGAATTATGCTAATTCTCAGCGGAGTTCAATTTTAATTCTTTCTTGTGAATTCATCCAAGTTCAAGACAGATCCCAAGTTTTTTTTCAATATCAAGGTTAAAAAAAACATCTTACTCCAATCTTTCAATTTCCAAAAAGCAGCCTTTGGATAATTTTCATAATTCTGTAGCTCGGAAAACTTCTTAAGTCTCAATAAAGCCTTGGAAATCTTTCGAGATATCCAACTTCAACGCTTTTAGAAATTTCTCCATACGAATGAGTAAAATGGACTCACTCTCTAACTTACATGTGATGATAATGATAGATGCTAGTGGTTTACCATCCATTGTAGCACGGAAACTAAGTCCGACAGGAGTGGGATCTCTTCTCTGTTTGTCTTGATCAAGCTAATACTCTCTGTTTGTCCTCAACATGTCGCTGTATGAAGGGCCAAAAACGGATTGGGTAGATCGATAGGCAAAGTCGCCTACACGCATCTATGTAACAATACAGAATCTCCTTCCAGCGACTTGATCAGCCAATTGGTCAAAAAGACAAGCCTCCTAACAGGGAAATGCCACAATGAGTGGAGAGAAGAGCCCGCCCTTTATCCACAAAATGTTATCAACCGGGAGTTGGCATTCCCACTCCCCCCGTCCAAATCGTTTCAATCGGGTGCCCTATTGAACCGTCCCTTCCCTTTTATATATGTATTTCAATGTATATACGAGATGATTGTTATGATTAATACTTACATTTCGATGAAGATTGTGCTACTTATTTTACCTTTTGTGTGATACTTATCATCACAGAAACCAATATTGAATCGTAGACCAGGTCCATCAACAATACACTCGTTCTGAGACGGGGCTCTGTGATAAAGCCATCTTCTTCTTCTTCATCATGTTCGCTCACCACCCGGAATGCATGCAAACGAAAAATAGATAGGGTATACGTCCCTAACCTCGGTCTAATATGCAGCCATAGATTACGTTTTTAATCATAACTCATCAATTAATTTACCTGCAAACGATATTCTACTGCTAAATGGTATGCTTAGATATGCTTATCATGTCGTTTGCTATCAGGAACCGCAAAAAGTTGAAAAACTTACTTTTTTTAAGACAAAAACTCACCAGGGAAATGTATGTAATATCGGTCTATTGTCCCCAAATTGGGTCTATTTATGGATGCAACTTCGTCCTATCCTGTTTGATTCTCAAAAAAAACGCTCTTGGTAACGTTTTCTTATGTATTTTTTTTTTATCACTATCACTGTTAACTTAATACTCTTCATTCCTCAAAACATTTCTTAGAGAAAATTTTACGAAAACTACATTAAATCACTCAAGTTAAAAATTAAAAATTAAAAATTTCGCTTATCGTCTTTCGACCGCAGAATATCTAAATCAAAACATTGTGATGTTCATTATACAGATTTGGCAGAAAAAAATCTCCCTTCCTGTTCGTTCCTTATCATCCAAATGCAAACCACATTGTTGACGTTACTCTTATTGCTATATGCTGTCAAATGAATTTCATGGGCCAAAGTTAGGAACATAGAAAAGAAATGTGTCCCTAAAGTTGGGTCCATGATTTACTTGTGAAAACGTTGTTAAACAATTAAAATAAACATAAAATATTCAAACAGTAACTGTGAGTTTTACGTCTAGTGTGTATTATCAGGTAATTCCATTCAATAAATGCCATAATCAGGCCATTTGATGATCGTCAGTGCAACCTTCCCATCTTAACCTTAGAAGTCATGGCGGCTAAAAACTCCGAACAGAGTGATATTCTCAACCAGTTTTATTACTTACGAGAGCTGAAAATGTATTGAAATGTTGTGATATAAATTGATTTGTGTGTGGTACACATTTATCAATCATCAGTGATCAATATTTTCCTTATTTTTTGTGTAATATTCCTTAATTAATTATTTATTTGCGTGATAGGCCGAATGAAAGGACTAGACCCACATTATATACCGTAACCCTACAACCAGGATTAGTTTTTTTTTATAAGTGTTCGAGCGTGGGCTCTAATTGCCGGCCACCGGAGGTTTTTCTACCCGTTGTTTCAAACAACGGAGCCACAACTCTGGGAAAACGAAATTTCACTGCTGTAGCACTGATCTTCACAGTGCCATCTCTTAACGCACTATAATCACTTTCACGAATTCATGAATTCGGACACACGTATCCACGAAACAATCCATAGGATAACCCATGCACTACGACCGACGGAACTTCCCGGTTTGGTCACAAACTCTGGATCGTTTCGGATGTGAACGAGGAAATTATTTTTAGATTTTCTTGCACTGTATATCACTTGATAAGCCTTAGACGATCGAGCGGACAAAGAAAAACACGGGATAGATACCGAACGCTCCTGCTGTATATTTGCAAGGTCTCGTGTCGTACCAGCTCGCCCATTCTCAAATAGTGGCGTAGATTATTGTGGCCCAATATTTCTCAAGTCCCCAGTGCGTAACCGCGCACCTATCAAGGCATATATTGCGATCTTCGTGTGTTTCACCACAAGAGCCGTTCATATTGAACTGGTATCAGACCTCTCCACGCCAGCATTTCTTTCCGCTCTCCGTCGCTTCGTCGCTCGCCGTGGCCGCATTCAGGAACTCCATTCCGACAATGGAACGGCCTTCAAGAGAGCATCGAATTCACTTCACCGCATCTATGACATGCTGAAGCTCAACGACACTGATCGAGATACCATCTTCAACTGGTGTGCAGATCAAGAAATCCAGTGGAGGTTTATTTCACCGCGGCTTCCCACAATCCTCCGAAGTTCTTGTGTCCCAACGTTGACACCGACTGATCGTCTTGCAGATCGTGAAAAAGTTGAATTGCTAGGTCCTCAGGTGGGACGTTTTCCAAGACTTTCGGTACGTTTGACGCACATTTTCTCATCGGAAAACCGGCTGACGCGAGCATAGCAGTAATTTGGCGACGATAATTTCGATTGTGGATTCGAGATTGTCCGCACCCGAGAGAAGATCATCTACGTAAAAATCCTCAACTACGGCTTCCACTGCTTCTGGATACTTGTCGCCTTCGTCTTTCGCCAGTTGTTGAAGTGTCCGTGTTGCCAGAAACGGAGCAGAAGCGGTGCCGTACGTAATAGTAAGCAGTTCGTACGTGTCGAGAGGATCAGTTGGGTTTCGGCGAAATACGATTCGTAGGAAGTGTTGATCGATGGGAAAATGGAATACTTGTCGATACATTTTTTCCACATCAGCAACGAAAGCAATCACGTGGAAACGGAATCGAATGGTGATTGTGACGAGATCTTGTTGCATGACTGGACCAACGAGAAGTGTGTCGTTTAACGATATTCCTGAGGAAGTCTTGCAGGAGGCATCGAACACTACGCGTACCTTAGTGGTGGTGCTGCTCTCCTTGAATACCGGGTGGTGTGGCAAATAGCAGTGCGGGATTTCGTCGTCAACTACATCGAGTTTCTGCATATGACCAAGGCGGAGATATTCTTCGATGTATGCGTGGTAGGTTTGCTTTAAGGCAGGATCTCTTTCGAAGCGTCTTTCAAGGCTGTAGAATCGGCGGGTGGCAATTGCTCGAGGTGACTTGCGGATCTTCGGACCGAGGAAGGCGTACGACGTACCTTCCTGAGTGAGTTCGGGTGGTAGTAGTGGCATAACATTCTTCGCATTCTTTTTCCTCAGTGGAATACGTTGAGCCATGGTCGACGGCTTCTAGCTCCCAGAAACGTTGAATTGCTGTTTCGAGAGATCGATCGACGGTTGATAGGTAACAGACTGGTGGTACGACAGAGGAATTGGTGGATGTTCTCCCAGAAGCTGTCCACCCGAAAAGCGTGTCGACCAGTAGTGGTAGACCGTCACCGATTGACAAACGGTTACCGGTGTGGATTTCATGATAGCATTCTCCACCGATAATGATGTCGACCATGCCCGGAATGTTGAAATGCGGATCGGCTAGTGGAACGTTTGGCATGTTCCACATAGCGGTATTGATGGCAATTGTTGGCAGATTAGCGGTTGGCTTCTTCATTATGAGAAATTCGAGTGTGGTGGAATAGGAGCTTGTCCGTGACTTGATCGTGGCAGTGATTTGCCGTTTGATTTGCTTGACGGATTCTCCGATTCCAGCAACAGCAATGTCCACGGAAGCTTGACGGGTGGCAAGTGTGTTTGCCAGTTTCTTCGTGATGAAGTTGGACATCGCTGCTGAATCGAGTAGGGCTCTAACACGAAGTTCCTTGCCGTGTTTGTCGACGATGGTTAGAACAACCGTTTCCAGTAGGACCGTACTATGGCGAGATTGAACGAAGAGGTTCACTTCGGGTGGATTAGATGATCCAGCGGTCCCCACGTTCCCCGACGTGGATGGAGTTTGTTGTTGCGGAGCAGAATTCGACGAGTTAGCAGGAGTTGATTTGGTGGCAGGATTTGGTGTGATCTTTGGAGCAGCTTGGTCATGCAACAACGTGTGGTGCCTAGCGTGACACGTTCTGCACGAGAACTTAGATTTGCAGATCTTTGCTTGGTGATTTGGGCGGAAGCAGTTCCAACACAAGCTTCGCTGGGAGATCAATTCTCGACGTTGCTTGACACTAAGATTGGCAAACGGTGGACATTGATAGAGTTGGTGCTTCTGTGAGCAGGCATGGCATTGTAGAGTCAATTTTTTGGGAATTGTACCAGCCACCTTGATGGTAGCCCCTTGGGAACGATGCTGTAGATCACTGGAAACTGACTTGAGCATTCGTACGTGCTGTATGAGGAACTCTACTAACTCATCATATTTGACCTCTTCCTTCTGACGAGTTTCATGCTCCCAGGAACGCAGCGTGGATACATCGAGCTTGTTACAAAGGATGAAGGTGAGTGGAGTGTCCCAGTGCTTTATAGGCTCACCGAGTTTGCCCAAAACCTTGACGTGCCGTTGAAAGTCGTCAACAAGAGTATTCAGCTCGTGTGCCGACTCACGCTTCATCAATGGTAGATCGAACAATCCTCTAAACAACTCTTTCCTGAGGAATCGTTTATCGTCGTACCTTTTCATCAGGGCATCCCAGGTCGACGCATAGTTGTCCGCTTGAATATCGACACTCTCAAACGGCTTTTTGGCATCTCCTTCTAACGACTGCAGCAGGTATTGAAGCTTGTTAACTGTCGGAATTTCATCGTTGCTGTGGATCATGGAAAGGAAATTATCTCGGAACGATATCTAGCGTGATTCGTCCCCACTAAACTTCGGAAGGTTTATTTTTGGTAAACGATGATGGAAGTTGGTAGAGGTGTGGACCGAAGCGAAGGATGATGACATCGTAGAGCTTAGAAGAGGATGATTTCGTTCCCGTTTAGACAGCAGAAAGCCCTTCAACCTGCAGAAGCGGTTCTCAAAATCGGTGCGTATCGTGATGTGTCGCTCGAAGTTCTCCGCTGCATCCAGTTTCTCTATCTCCGATTGAATATTGTTGAACTCCTTGTTTATCCTGTCCAATGTATCCAGTCGTACTGAGACTTCGGAAGAATCGCGTTGCTGGTCATAATCGCTGACGAACCTTTCCACCACATCTCGAAGAGCCAGTACCCGTTTCAGGACGAGCTGGTCCTCCGCTAACTTCTTCTCCTTCTTGCTTGCCATCACTATCTACCACCTCGAACCACTGAACTACGCGCACCGGACGTTAACAACACAGTAAGTTCGCACGATTACTCCTTCCCGTCGCGTTGTGCTGATCTTACGCGAAAGTGGCGGAAACACCACGGATAATCGTACGAAAATATCCTTCCCGACGCGACACGTGATGCTTCTACACGACCACGGAACGAACGACCGAAAGGGAATACGTGAAATCGTTACGAATAATCCTTCCCGACGCGTTACGTATCCCTTTTTGTACGAATCGCGGATCCGCTAGAACGCCACCCCGTGTATGAAATTCAATTTGACAAGTTTGAAATTTCAATGTCCACCACCGTACCAACAAGTGTGTGGGACACTGTACAGCACACCTCGAGCAATTAATTCAAAAGGCGAATTGATTGAGCCTATATGCCACCACAGCAGACGAATTGCAAAAATCTCCTAAGATTGCGCTTCACCATCAGTAGGTAATGAAATTTCGATCGTTTATACTACGCCTTTCTCCATGCAAACTTCTACCTACTTGCGCTGCCACAGCAAGTGGTGCAAATAATTGGCGCCGATCGGGAGTGCGAAAGCAAATGGCACTTCGACTCAATAGAGATGAGGTTGAATGGCCTACCTTTAGTGGTCAACGTCCTCTGACCACTTACCACGATGGCGAAATATCCCTTTCGCGCGTTGAATTGTAGCTTGGATGCTTCCTCCGATCCGGTTCGAAGGACCAATGTGGTCTAGACGATTGCTCGGTATTATGTAAGCATCACCTACTACGAGAAACCGGCCATACGTCCTTCACCCAAGAAGACATGATAACACTATTGGCACAAATAGAAATGTGTCTAAACTCACGGCCATTGACTCCAATACCCAGCGATTCCGCCGACCTCGAAGTGTTGACACCAGGCCACTTCCTTGTTGGTTCGAATCTCCAAGCAGTCCCGGAAGCCAACATTGCCGAAATTCCAGATAACCGCCTAGATCACTGGGAACGTACCCAAAGGCATTTTCAGCGAATCTGGGCAAGGTGGTATCCAGAATATCTCGCCCAGTTGCAAACCCGGGCAAGCAAAGGCTGCAAGTTACCGGTTAACCTACAGTTGGGACGGATCGTGGTCATCAAAGACGAAAATCTCCCGCCGGCACAATGGCCACTGGGTCGAATCATCAAACTGCATCCAGGCAAGGATGGTATAGTACGCGTCGTCAGCATGAAAACAGCTAAAGCAGAGAACGTCGTGCGACCAGTCGCCAAAATCGCCCTTCTACCAATACCATCCGAATGCGAAGATCATCAATAGTCGAACTGCAAGCCGAAACTACAAAGATCGGCCGAGCAGTCCGAAACTGACTCACTGCATATATGAACAGCTAACAGACGTCACCCAATCGATGAATTGAATTGACCATCTACGACAGTCTTCGTATTCGCCGAATTCAGCCGATGTCCGAGAGAATCATGAGAGAGGAACGTAGCACGAGAGAGATTGAAACAGTGTTGCTGTTTCAAGGTGGCCGGAATGATAAGTATATGGTCACATGTAAATATCTGTAATATCACCCAACATTTGTAAATATTTAGCATTAAGTCACATTGAATTCAAACCAAAACAAACTAAAGTAGTTAAGCCTAACACAAATTTAAATAACAGAAAACAGATTTAAATCACCAACCGTCACCACAATAATACACTACACTGTACGATCGACCCACAAGCTATTGTACACGCAAAACCCATTCAATGAAAACAAAGTTACACAATCCCATCAGTACAAAATATAAAGTCAAAGCAACCAGTAGCAAACCCAAGTCGTTCCCTTTATTCCGAGCAGTGCAGTGCAATTCGAGTGATCTCACGAAATCCGAAATTGATCTCGGTGGTGGCCAAAGGTGGCAATAAATCGATCACGGAATCGATTGAGTGCGTATATTTCGTGCGTGATAATCACAGTGAGTGATTCGTGACGAATAAACCCCACGACGGTCATTAAAGAAGCATTGCGATAGTGAAGTGTGCTATAGTGGCGAATTACCCTTTCCCGTGGTTTGGTGTGCCGCTATTGGAAATAGCGGGTAGTAATACCTCCGGTGGCCGGTAGTTAGATCTCCACGATCGAACAATAAGTATAAGTAATAGTTTTATCCGAATACCCAAGTTACGATATTGTGTCTCAGTGACATTGTTTCACTCTGCGAACACCAACATGATTATCCGCTAGGAAACACCAATGAATATACAGAGATAAATCTTAAAACACAGTGTTAACTGATAGTACTTTATATACATCAAACTATCCAATATTGGACCCTGCAAACACACGCCGCCTACACGGTAATGTGGACCGTCAGATAAGCTTTCTGTATGTCAAGCCCACCCGTTCATAAACGAGAATATGGTTATACATACATCTTTACTATCACAACCTCGGGTAATCATTGAAAGTACTTGCATTTTACTCAGGCACCCCTGAGCAACCTGCAATCACCCTCTCATACTCGAAATGTGCCACGATCAACCTGGCACAACTACGCCCTATACGCTCTGTGGTCCAAGCGCAGGGACTTTCACCATTCTCTTTTCTCACCCATACCTTTTTTCGGTATGAATCTGCTGGCCAAAAACGGAGGGGCAGACACTTTCGCGGAACACTCGGAAATAGATAATCTCTTTCCAATAGGGACATCTCCCAACACCACACAACAGAACCCATTATTAGCACCAGAATAAATTGGAATGAACTCACCAAATCGATCCATGAACGATGTCTTGTTACAGTGCTCTATACTCAAGGGTTTGTTGACTGGGTTCGAAAATAGGTTTTCCTATTCTAAGTATCGAACAAGCGAACCAAAAAGCCTGTACTCACTTAAATTTTTTCGCCGAGTAGTTCTGCAATTTATATTGCTGAGACTCAGTAAAACAATTGCCGAGACTCAGCTAACAAATAACATTTTGCTGAGATATCAGCTAACAAACAGATATTTTGCAGAGATATCAGCAAAACTAAATGCCGAGGTAATCGGCTGTTGGAGATTTTACCGAGTTAGATTAAGTGTGTATAGAGCTTTTTGACGTTTAATCGGCGCACACTACACTCAAAACATATTGAAATCTAAATAGTATAAAAGTTACGCTAAATCGCCATTCTCCTTACCGACGCATAGCTTGGTATAAAGAGAGAGAATGCAAGCTTAGTATAAAAATGATTTATTAATTGAATAATATAAAGTTGCGGTATTTTTTAGGATGTATAAAGTCCGTTTATTTGTCAGGATGCGTTTTTTGATTGCTTTTTATGTCGTGACTGATAATGAATAAAAGTAAACAGCACTAATGTAGTTATATTTTTATTGTAATAATTTAAGATAACATATTAATTGTCTTGCAGCTGCGTCGGGATGAACGTTCTCAACCGAGCCTGCAAAATTATTTTCGTACTCCAGTTTCAGTTCCATTTGACAATTGTGAACTAAGTGCAGAGAGATGTCCTCCTATCGAAAGTGCAGTTCATTCATGGTGTCAAAAGGTTGAATGTGGAAAGGATATCAGTAATTAACGATCTATGAAGAATCAATCCCTTTGATATAGACCTACCTCATACTCGCACGATAGATTGACCTTCAGACCGATTGTTGTAGTGGCATGGTGAATGCCCTACGTAACCCTTGCGCATACGGGCGTTCTTGGATTTACTCCGACCAGCAGCTCCAGATCGGATTCTTCACAGGAATTCAGCAAATCCTGTAATGAAAATTATGTGGACCATTAGTTTTTATTTTTAAAATTATGTTTTATTACATTACCTGTTGGTTGAAAGTGTCTATCAATTATATTGGTTCATGTTAGACCCCTAAACTACCGACAAAATCAAGATTGACGTGAAAAAATAAAGACTCGATCGAAAACCATTATGAGCGTCCTCGAAATATTTATCTTAATACAAGTGAATGATTTCTACGCCTTTATTACGACTAAGTATAATTCTGAAACCAAATTATAATCAAATCAATGTTTAAATATTGATAATCATAAAATTATTAATTTTTAACCTTTCTATGATTAGTAATATTTTTGAGTGTACTGCACCATTTAAATCGAATGAGTGCGAGCAAGAGGGAAACAGATTAGTGGGAAAACAAACCGTCCATTAATTCATGTGTGCTAGATAGAGAAAAACGACTAAACGTCAAAAAGGTCTACGGCCAACCAAGGTTGCAAAGACTCATTTCAGCTAAAATAATGTTTTTCGGAATAATAAAACCAAAAGATGGTATGATGGCATGTTTTACTTGTAACTTACAAGAAGAGGTTACAAAGTATGCGTTGTAAACATAAAACCTGTAAATTTTGCTTTCTATGAGTCACAATCAGCGATTTGCTGATCGCTGAGTGAGTGAGTGAGTGAGTGAGTTTGTGAAAAATCGCTGACTATGACTCTCATGAAGTGAAATAAACAGGTTTAATATGTCAAACACATTCTTTGCAACCTCTTCTTGTATCCTACCAATTCAAAATTTGATCATGGCATCTAATTATTTCATAATTTGGAAAAACATTGTTTTAGCTGAAATGAGTCTTTGCACAATTGTCTTCTTTCCTTTATTTAACGTCGGTCTCTGTTCCGCAATCTAGTGCCAATCACCGACGGACATCGATTGCCATCCATTGACGGCAATCGACTGTGCAGGAAGGCAGCTTCCACACCTGCGTAGGATATCGCACCCATTCAAACACACATATGGGCCGAGACCAACGGTTTTACTTCCCTTCCAAAGGAAGACGTGATTTGTATGCCTCAGAAAAATCCCACCGACCTCGGCTGGGATTGAACCCAGACGCATTGGGGTGAGAAAGCAGTCACGCTTACCACTACACCACCGGCGCCGGCAAAAAGCACAATTGTGGTTGAATGGATTCAGGCTGCTAATCGAAGAATCTGACCCACTTGCAAGGAACACAAAGAGCCGCAAAGAACAACCAATAAGGCTAGGTCCCGAAATGATCAGTGGTTGAAGAACTCTCGGTGGCAAAAAGAACAAATCAGGCATAACATTTGATAACGGCACAAAAGCATTTGTAAACAAACTTTCTAAGGCCCTTTACACGCGAACCAAAGTACGCCCACGCAAACCAATACCACTTTCGGAAAGGTGATAGTTGCCCCTATCCGATGATGTTGTTGGTTTGCGTGGGCGTACTTTGGTTTGCGTGTAAAGGGCCTTAGAAAGTTTGTTTACAAATGCTTTTGTGCCGTTATCAAATGTTATGCCTGAAATAGTTGTAGGAACACTAATTACAACTTCATAAAAGTCGAGAAAAACGGAACAAAAATTGACGGCTGAAAATGTTCCATGTCTCTCTTCGAGCACAGCACACTACGATGTTCTCTCTAATGTCGTTTTCGTTTTTACTACACTACACCGGTGTAGTGTAAGCAGCAATAAGTGCGAGTCATTGACAGTTCATCATCACTTCTTTGTAAACAAAGGTGCAACCGATAGCTACACCCTAATTTTTTTTCGGATTTCGGCAGTGTAGAACCGGTGTAGCTACACCGCAAAAACGAAAACGACATAACTTACATGTATCTTTTTTTCCTTGATTTGTTTTCCGTGCTGAGTACCAATTCTACCGACGCCAGGAAGGCAGCTCTCACACCTGGACCCTACCTATCGACCCATCAACTCATGAACCGGGGACTAACGGCTTTACTTCGGCGTGATCAGAGATGTTATGCCTCAGAACTTCCCGGCGGCGCCTTTCTGGGATTGAACCCAGGCCTGCTGGGGTGAGAAGTAATCACGCTTACCACTACACCACCGGTGCCGCTTAACTAATATGTCATAATGTGACATACTGAAAAATCTGGGTATGAAAATTTCGATGATCTGAACACCCCTCAATTCGCGATTAGAGCCATATTTACGGAGATAAATCGATTTAAAGTATGGAAACCCCACCAGCCGGTAAAGTAAAGTGAACAATAAAAGCCAATATAAAGATAAACTCATTTTATTTCAAATCAAACTCAACATCATCCCGACTCCAAGTCAACGTTCCAAATCGTAAATTGTCTTCATGGCCAGTTCCGGTTGATCGTAGCCCAGCTCCTCCGGTGTATCGATCCCCAGATCACACAGCGTCGACTTGATTTCCTGCAGCAGGTACGGGTAGATCTGCTTCTCCTTATCGCCACAACGGTCCTTGACCGCCTCCAGAAAGCGGATCGCCAGTGCGTAATCGTTCAACCGCCGGCAAGCTTTCAAAGCGGATACGATTATCTTCGGTTCCGGTACCAGATCCATGCCGAGCAGATCGTTCATCGCTTTTCGGGCTTCCCAGCCGTCGATATCCGGCCGGTTGAAATAGGCTTCGTAGCGGGCGTCAAACTCACCATCACTTTCACAGGGGCTTTGCGAGATTTGACGCTTCGGGATGGTTTGGTTGAAGGGTAGTTGACCGGCTGGAAACCTGGAGGCTCCCTGGCGGATCTTTCGCAGATGATTGTAACAGCTTCGGAGCATCTTTGCGGTAGAATGAAGCACTTTCTGACAGACCGTCTGCTCTCCAAAACGAGGCTTGCTGCGATTGGAATGGTTCGATGAAAATTTACAATTAAATGGAATGTTCCGAAGGTCCACCACCGCAAATCTCGATTGTCTGCGGGCGGAGTAGAAGAACCCAAAATCTCGCATTCTTCCGTCGGTCGTCCAGCGGTTTTATTGAAAAAGTTATGTTTGGCCACGGTTCAACACTTGTTTCCTGGTGGGGGTGTGTGCGATAGACTGGTGCTGATATTCGGATAATTGTCCCATTCAGATTGGAAATCAAGTCAAAGATGGGACCGATTTTAAGATTCTCCTCTAGGATCAAGAATCAAGAAAGAAAGGACAGTGCACCCAGACTAGCACGCACCAAATGGACCAGCAACAGATTGGTGAAATATTATTCCTGTTGGCTATTTCGGAAAGGACGCAGGAGAAAGTGGATGGATGGATGGAGTGGGCGATCGAAGGGGCGAGTAGGGCGTTGAGTGCAACAACTTGAAATTCGGATTTATGTGGATCGTAAAATTGCAAAGCAGCTGCTGGCACGGACACGAAGATGCTGTTATGGGTTTTCTGTCTTAATGACCGGGTGGCGATGGGCGAAATTGAGCGCTCGTTGAACGATTTTCGGATGCAACCAATGCACAATGAAATATGGTGGTTCGGTTTGGAATATGCTAGATTGCTGTTTGAGTTCCGAATTTTTATTGCTTTTGTTTCTAAGGTTAATGGAGTCGTAATTAAAAACAAATGGAAAAGGAATAACGATAAATGCATCACGGATAGAACAGGATGAGGTTTATGGTAGGAAAGTTCCAAAGATTCTCAGGAATCAGAAAAAAAATCAAGTTTCAATCGTATTTTTGGCACGGTTTGGCATTTTGACTTTAAATCCAATAGCAAAAAGCCTCGTTTTCTGATGAAACAATTTCGTATTTGTCTGTTTATTCAATAGATAATAAAAAAGCGAACATTTATTGGAGATATTTCTTGCTCAAATTTTCCCAGCCGAGATATTCGCGATCAATCCTATAATGTCGTGATCTTTTTACTTTTTTTCTAGCGTCCTGGAGAAAACTTTACCTTAATTCGAAGTGTTTCTGGTTAATTGACAAGGTGTGGTTACGCATTTGACCACAAAAGTTTGGGTGCTGGGTACATTATCAAAGAGCTCTGGGGGTGATGTGGCTGGCAGCAAGGCAAGCAAACGACCAATGTAAATTAACTCTTAAACAAGAATAATTTATGGTGGTCCTGAAAAGAATCGTTTTTTCGTGATGGTTGAGTAATGCTGAGCTATTAGGATGTTCAACACGAATGAGGCTGGCAAGCTGTATGTTGTTTGGAACAAGGGTGACGCGCTTGGCATAGCTGACCAACAGCGGCTCACGACGAGCAACTGAATCCGATCAGTAGTGGTGCAGCTTTTACTTCCTTCTTCGGTGAACGGAGGGCTCTTGAGGGCATCCTTGATAGCTAGTTGCTTGCTGGGAGCCTTTCGTTGTGTACTGGAGAAAAATGGACAATGCCACGCGCCGAATGCACTGCTGCTGATGATGACGATCGGACACCACCAATCACCACACACGGTGATTGAATAAATACCGTTCGGCGAGACCGGATGGAATTCGAAATCTGTGTTAGGGAAAGCGCTTTTCGTAGGCAATCGGTGATAATTTGAACTATCATAGCAACAGATGCATACTCGTGCAATTTTCAGTAGTGACCTTTTGAAAATTGATAGAGCCTTAATTTTAACAGATTCGTAGAAAAAAATCCTATCGATTGGCGTATCACGAATTAAAATCCATCATCTCGGGATCACAATCAGACCACTTTCAGGCCGCGACCGACTTTGATTTTTGAAATTGCAGCCCCAAGGTTTCCTTGAAAATACATGGTATGTTAGATTTAAACTTATGGGAACTGACATCCGATTGATGACTTTGACAAACGTCCAGAAAATACTCTTTAACAAATTTATGGTGGTCCTGAAAAACACCGTTTTGTCGTGATGGTTGAGTAATACTGAGCTATTAGGGTGTTCAACACACATGAGGCTGGCGAGTTGTATGTTGATTGGAACGAGGGTGACGCGCTTGGCATTCCTAATAAAATTGTTATGGTTATTTTGCTGACGACGTGTTCTGGGTATCATCCGAACTATTTGTGGAATAGTTCAATCATGTGGGTTATCGTTCATGTATAGTATTTTTTTTATTAGAGATAGATGGCCCACAGAGACTCACAGTAGCTCTAATGAATACGATCAGTAGCGGTGCGACTTCTTCCTCCTTCTTCGTTGAATGGACACTCATGTGGGCTGCAGTTCGCTGCTTGCGGGAGAACAATGTTCAAAGCCACGCGTCGAAAGCACTGCTGCTGCTGCTAATGACGACCGACCAGACACCACCACAATTGAATTCAATTTTGAAATGTTTGTTAGGGATAGCGCTTTTTGCAGGCAATCGGTGATAATTTTGATCACCGTTGCAACAGTTGGACATTTGTGTAATTTTTAATAGTGACCTCAAGGGGCAATCCACTCTGCACACTGTGCCGAAACACAGCATGAAACACTGTTCGGCACATTAAGGCATACTTTGACAAGTAGGACACAAACAATATAATATAAAACGGCATCACTGTTGAGTGTTGACATTTGGGAATCATTCGAAAAATTCAGTAAGTATTTTCTGAATAGCGAATCTCCTAGCAAAACTAAGTCCGTCTCTTGCGAATCACAGCAAAAATCACAGCGGATCGTGTTTTCATCTAGAACCGATTATATCAGGGCCTCACTTCAGTAGAGTTCATATATGTACACCATGGCCGGTCCAGAGCGTCTTGTCGATACGGCAGTCAAGACGACTGAAACGGGTTTCCTCTAGAAAAGATTCGTTTTCGATTGATGATCAAATCATTGTGAAGAATGCCCGACGATTGCCTTTGACGATAAATTCGAACGGCCACATCAACTTTTTTTAATCAATATCAAGCAAATGGATCCCAACTACACAACGGGGATGGAAGAACACCTACACTATGCTGTTATTCGTACGAAAATAAGAGTATTCAGTATTGGAAAAGTTCACCAAAACGCACTAGGACTCGCGAACATTTTCCCCGAGTAGCACATTTACATCACAATAAGTTGCAGCAACTTGTTTATGACTGATATAAGTTGTATAGAAGTTGCCACAACCGATTTGTGACAAGCGTGCTACTAGAGTCCTTGATGAACTTCGTGAAATATCGTGTACTTTTTCCAACGCTGCTCATATTCTAGCCCAAATGCTGTCCCCAGGCTTTATTCCAGAACACACTTCTTATTTTTGAACATAACATTTGATACTGTCGTGTGTATCCATTCTCGAAGCGTACAACGAAGGATCAGAGCAGGATCTTCTGCGAGAGTTGAGGTACATCAACAATTTTGTTATACATAATGAACAATAAAGAAGAAAACAAGCTTATCATAGGGGGCGGCCAGATTTGGCTCCCGGTCTTGCCGAGTATCTTCGGGACTGAAATTTTCACTGCATTTTTCTTCGGATATTCTTATCAGTCATTAGTCATAATTGGTGTGGACTTTGATAGGAAAACCACAGGATTTTATAGCGATGTCCATAGAATATAGAAAGGTGTATCTGTATATGCTCTTGAATCACGAATCGCCCACGTTTGGCATCTGTGTGGAGCCGACTGGATTGGGCGGAATCTTCTCGAGTTCTATACAGATCTACAGGCGCCGGATATAGCGCTTCCGCTGAAGTCTGCGGTGGCTGAGAACAAAGGTGGTATGGAGGCAGAGTGGACCATCTCTGATTATGGATGGGATGGACTCGGGATGGCCTCGATCGCGCGTGATCTATTGTTCGATTTTAGTTAGAAAAATTGTTTTTTGTTTTAAGTTTATAATTAAAATGAAGCTCATTTTGATGTGATTGGAAAAATTGCTCACGATTTTTTCGGTCTCATGATTCACTATGCTATACTTAAGGTGTATTTAGGTTTATTTTAAGTACAAGGTTGTTTTTAAACGTGCGGTGCTCGATCAGAGTAGTGTGAAATAAAAACAAGCATTACTGTCGGTAGGCCGTGACGGATGCTCGCCCTAGGTTGCTGTGAAAGACATAAGGATCTATCACAGGCCACAATTGAAGAAAATCATAACTGACAGAACTCGGGCGGAACGTAAACTAGCAGCTTGTAAGAAATGTTGCAAACAAAAGTGGACAGTTGCATACAATACATGGAATATTGCATGACACGTCTCATAAATTTACACGATCTCTAATCTAAGCTTGTATGATATATGACGCTCCATTTATGTGCATCATAGTAACGGAAATTTACACTACTTTTTTTTAGCTGTGTACTATAAATCCAGATTGGAATACATTGTTAACGGTTTGCAGGGATTCAATTTTATTTGAATAGCTCGATACTCTCAGTAAGGTGTGACGGATGTCCCACCCGGGACAAGAACATTCTTGAATCATGCTGGGAAAAGACATTAAGATCTATCACAGGCAACTATTGCAGAAAATCATAACTGGCAGAACACGGGTGGAACGAATTGAGAGGATAAATATGTTTTGAAAAATATGACGTACTCTTGATCCAGATTGGAAAACATTGTTAACGGTTTGCAGGGACGTAATTTTATTTGGATAGTTTCCTCGCTGGGTCGTTACCTGGTTTAACAGCTCGATCATAGATTGTATGATATGATATGAGGGCCTCTGAGGTCGTAAAGCGGCCGCTTTTGCCTACTGAACAGAACATCATAAGTGTGATACTCTAAGGAAGCCTTAGCGTGAAACTTCAAAGGCACAAATGTCAGCTTCCACAAAACATAGGGTTACGGTATGTAATGTGGGTCTAGTCCTTTCATTCGGCCTATCACGCAAATAAATAATTAATTAAGGAATATTACACAAAAAATAAGGAAAATATTGATCACTGATGGT